TTTTTTTTTAAAGGAAGAAGTTGTTTACAGGCTAGAATGTTCATGCTTAGCACTTATTAGCATAAATACATCCTAAGTTGTTTTTCATTTATCTCCCTGAGTGTTGGTATGTTTGGTTTTTTTACTGTTCTGTGTTCCTGATGTCTTCAGTGAGTCCACTGTGCGCTGCAGGTAGACATAGAGAGCCACTCGGGTCTGTGTTTTTAGCTGTTGTTACTTGGGTACATGTGTTTTCCTGTGTAGTAAGGAAATATTGGAGGTGGGGCATAAAAGACCCTAAATCCTGTGGCATAAAAAGTATATCATGAAACTGAATTTTGAAAATTATAATTTGTCCTACTACCCAGGAATTAACAAAACAAAAAAACCTTCTGACTTAAATTTTATCTTCTTAGAAAAGGTGACTTTGGGGGCTGGAGAGATGGTGCAATCAGTCAAGGATTTGCCTTGGAGACATGAGGACCTCACTTTAGATCCCCAGAGTGCACATAAAACCCAGATTGGGGCCTGGAGTCCAGTCGTAGAGAGGAAGGAGTGAAAGGCAATGGGGTCAAGACCATGCTGGGGAAACACACAGAAACAGCTGATCTGAGCAAGTGGCAGCTCACAGACTCCAGAGTGACAGCTGGGGAACCAACATAGGACCAAACCAGGCCCCCTGAACGTGGGAGTCAGTTGGGGGGCTTGGGCAGTCTATGGGGCTGCTTGCAGTGGAACCAGTGTTTATCCCTAGTGTACAAACTGGCTTTTTGGAGCCCATTCTCTATGGAGGGATGCCTTGCTCAGCCTAGACACAGCGGGGAGGGTCTTGGTCCTGTACCAAATGATGTGACAGACTTTGATAATTCCCCATGGAAGGCCTCACCCTCTCTGAGGAGTGGATGGGGGTGGGATGGGGAGATGGTGGGAAGAGTGGGAGGGTGGGAGAGAGAGGGAGCTGGGATTGGTATGAAAAACAGATTGTTTTAAAAATAAAAAGTAAGTAATTTTTTTAAAGCCAGGTTTGGCAGTGAGCACAGGTAATCCAAGCAATGGAGAGAGGAGAGCTGGAGGCAGATGGGTTCCTGGAGGCTCAAATCCAAGCTAGACTAGCTTAGCTGGACAAGGATCAGCCCAGGGAGAGACCCTGTCTCAGATGAAAGATAGAGGGTGCCCAAGGACTAATAACCAATTTTGTTCTCTGACCTTCACTTGTGTGCCATGTACACACCACACACACACACACACACACACACACACACACACACACACACATACACACACACACACACACACCAGAGAAAACAAAGAGATTTCAAAGCAATAAATTTCCATAAAATAAAAACCATGCGTGTGCCGAGAGCGTTTATTTACAGCTTGAGCTCTGGGAAGTTTGCGGTACTTAGAGCAGCTCTGCCCAATAGAAACAGATCAGGATGGGGAGAGGTTGATCAATGGGTGCTAAGTAGCAGTCACGTGACAGCACGGCTCCCCAGAGCTACGAACAGTAGGTGACTATAGATAACCATTGTGTACCGTACATGTCAGAAAGGGAGACAAAGGGATTTCACAAGTTCCGACATAAAGGGATGACAAATGTTTGAGGAGACATATTTGTTTATCCTCATCTAAATATCCCATGATGTGTGAATATATCAAAATATTACACAGCATCCCATGAATTTGCAATTTTTATGTGTCAGTTAAACTTTAAAAAATCTCTTTCACACAAAATAAGCATACCATAGTGTATATTGCATCCACATATATGTAAATTTAAATCTCCTCGTTCATATCGGAACAAGTGTAAGCAGCATAAAATTAATTTTGATAACATTGCATTAATCTGATGGACTTGAAATACCATCATGTTAAATGTAGCCAGTGTAAAATAGAAAGCACTGGTCAACTGTACTATTATTTGTGTTACGTTTTTAGAATCCAATGTGCATTTTGTTTGTATTTGGTTGTATTTCATTTTACAAGATTTATTTCTGTTTATTGTGTATACCAAGTGTGTGCCCGTGGAGTCGCAAAAGGACAGCAGATCTCCTGGAGCTGGGGACAGTTGTGAGTTGCTCACTGTGGCCGCTAAGAACGAAACTCAGATCTTCTGCAAGAACAGCAAGTGCTCTTAATTGCTAAGCCATCTTTCAGACCGCCAGTATATATTTTATACTTAAGCCCATGTCTGTTTGAACAATCTGTGTTCAAGTGCCCATGCTACATGTGAGTATCTAACTAATTTCTCCCCTTTGACTCATCCAAGCATTAAGAGCTATTAAGAGGTGGGGGAGGAGAGAGGAAGGAGGGGAGAGAAAGAAAGAGGACAGAAAGAAGAGGGACAGAGAGAGAGAGAGAGAGAGAGAGAGAGAGAGAGAGAGAGAGAATATATTTCAAGTCTCTACAGGAACCATAGCACACAGAGCACACCTCTGTGCCCTGGATTCACTTGTGGGGTCAGAGCATATTTTTCAACCCTCCTCCAAATTAAGAGAGAAGGCCTACCTGGGTCTCCCTTTGGCAGAAGGCCACATTCTGAGACATACAATGCAATCCACTGAGTTTCACTGCCAAATAAAAAGGAGACTGACTGTTCCCAGCATCAAGGGGACGCTGGGCAGCTTGGCATTCACAAAGCATGTCTTTCATGGCCTCCTAGGAGCTCTGACATGACTTGCAAGCAGGACCCTCCAAGGAGCCATATGGGGACCCAGACACACAGGTGAGGTGTGCTCTAAGGACCCTCAAAAAGCTTTCTTTTTGTGTTTCACCAGCCTGTCTCAGACACCCTTCCTGACTCTATGCAGCATTTGCTAGCCATTAAGGGTTAACTATGAAAGGAAGACCTTCCCTCAGAGAGGGTGCGGTTGAGCTTCCTGCCTTCACACGCTGAGCCATCTCCTTGACTCACCTCTTATACGGGCTATATGGATTCAGTGTGAAGTTAGCAGTCATTATGAGTGATAGATAGCCACTACGATTGCTCCTGGGTAGCCTTGGCTGGCTGCTTCACATAATTCTTCAAGCTTTGAAGTGTGTAAAATCTTTTGACATTGTGGCACTGTGTTGTCATCTACAAAGTTCATACTTGAGAACTGGGGTATGTACAAATACACATGCATGAGTGTAGAGGACTAAGTTCTTCTCTCTCTCTCTCTCTCTCTCTCTGCCTG